AAAAACAATTAAAAAACAGGAAGACAGCCTAAGAGAACTGTGGAACAATGTGAAATGTAACAATATCTCTGTCACAGGAGTTCCAGAAGAAGAAGAAAATGAGTAAGGGTTAGAGAATATATTTGAAGAAAGAGTGACAGAAAAACTTCCCTAACTTGGTGAAGGAAAAAAGCATACAAGTTCAGGAAGCACAGAGAGCCCCAAGTAAGAAGAACCCAAGGAGGCCTACACCAAGACACATCGAAATTAAAATGCCAACAATGACAGACAATGAGAGAATCTTAAAGGCAGCAAGAGAAAAACAACAGGTTAACAACAAAGGAGCTTTCAATAGGCTGTGAGCTGATTTCTCAAGAGAAACATGGTAGTCCAGAAGGGAATAGCATGAAGTAATCAAAGTCATGAAAAACAAGGATTGGAATCTAAGACTACTCTACCCAGCAAGGATATCATTCAAAATAGAAGGTGAAATAAAGAGTTTCCCAGACAATTAAAAAACAAAACAAAACAAAAAACAGCCAAGGGAATAGATTAGCACCAAACCAGCACGTCAAGAAAAGTTAAAAAGATTACTATAATAAGCAGAAGAAATAGAGAGAGAAACATAGCAATAATAAATTTAAAATGGTAATAAATAAGTACATATCAATAACCTTAAATGTAAATGGATTAAACACTCCAATCTAAAGACACAGAGTAGCTGAATAAATAAGAAAGCATGACTCTTTCTTATCCATTCAGCTACATATGTTGTTTACAAGAGACACACCTCACAACAAAAGACTCATACAGGTTGGAATTGAAGGAATAGAAAAGATTTTCCAAGCAAATGAAAATGAGAAAAAAAAAAACCTGGTGTAGCAATACTCATATCTGATAAAAACAGACTTCAAAATGAAGGCCATAACTAAAGACAAAGAAGGCCACTACATAATATTGAAAGGATCTATCCAACAGGAGGATATAACCTGGGTAAACATATATTCACCCAACATAGGAGCACCAAAATACATTTTAAAAACTTCTGGAGAACTTCAAAGGAGAAATTGACATCAATACAAGCACAGCAGGGGACATCGACTCCCTGCTGACATCACAGGATAGATCCTCTAGACAAAACATTAACAGGAAAACACAGATTCTAAATGATGCACTAGATCAAATGGATTTAGTAGATATCTACTGAGAATTACTACACAAAACTGCAGAATTCACATTCTTCTCAAGTACACATGGGACATTCTCAAAGATAGACCACATTTTAGGACACAAACTAAGTCTCTACAAGTTCAAAAAGATTAAAACCATTTCAAGCATCTTCTCAGAACATGATGACATAAAACTAAAAATTAATTACAATAAAAACACTAAAAAACATTCAAACACATGCAGGCTAAATAGCATGCTATTAAACAATTACTGGGTTACCAAGGAGATCAAGGAAGATATAAAAAAAAATTCCTGAAAATTAACACACCACAAAACAAAATCTGTGGGACACAGCAAAAGCAGTTCTGAGAGGAAAATTCATAGCACTGCTGGCCTATGCAAGAAACAAGAAAAAATTATACTTGACTATCTAACACTACAACTTAAATAACTAGAAAGTAAACAAAAAAGAAAAAAAACAGAGCAAATGGAGGGGAAAAAATAGTAAAAGTCAGAGCAGAAATAGTTGACGTAAAGACTAAAAAACCAATTCAAAAGATCAATGAAACAAAGAACTAGTTCTTTGAAAAGATAAACACTAATGAACTTTTAGCCAGATTCACCAGGAAACAAAGAGAGAGGTCCCAAATAAATAAAATCAGAAACAAAAAAGAAGTAACAACTGACACCACAGAAATACAAAGGATTGTTAGAAAATACTATGAACAATTCTATGCCAACAAATGGGTCAACCTTGGTGAAATGGACAAATTTGTAGAATCACACAGTCTTCCAAAACTAAACTGGGAAGAGACAGAAAACTTGAAAGACCAATATTAACTAAGGAAATTGAAGGTGTAATTAATAAGCTCTCAGCAAACAAAAGCCCATGTCTAGATGGCTTCACAGGGGAGTTTTCCCAAACATTTAATGAAGAACTAACACCCGTTTTCCTCAAAATATTCCAAAAAATTTCAAGAAGAAGGAAGACTTCCAAGCTTTCTTTATTGGCCAGCATAATCCTAATTCCAAAACCAGATAAATATACTACAAAGAAATAAAACTACAGGTCAGAATTCCTGATAAATATAGATGCCAAAATCCTCAATAAAATATTAGCAAATTGGATCCAGCAATACATTAAAAAATTTATTCACCATGACAAAGGAGAATTCATCCCAGGGATGCAAGTCTGGTACAGTATTAACAAATCAATAAATGTAATACACCACATAAACAAAACGAAACAAACAAACAAAAACATATGATCATATCAATTGATGCTGAAAAAGCATTTGACAAAATCCAGTATCCATTTCTGATAAAAATGCTCAGCAAAGTGGGAACAGAGGGATCATATCTCAACATAATAAAGGCTTATATGAAAGACCTACAGCCAACATCATACTCAAAGGGCAGAAACTAAAGGCATTTCCCTTAAGAACAGGAACAATACAGGGATGCCCACTTTTGCCACTCTTATTTAATATAGAACTGGAAGTCTTAGACACAGCAATCAGACAGGAAGAAAAAATAAAAGGGATCCAAATTGGGAAGGAGAAAGTGAAACTGTCATTATTCACAGATGACATGATACTATACATAGAAAACCCCAAAGACTCCATCAAGTATCTACTAGATTTAGTAAATAAATTGGGCAAAGTAGCAGAATACAAAATTTACATCCAGAAATCAATGGCATTCTTATATACCAATAATGAACACTCAGAAAGGGAAACCAGAAAAACAATCTCATTTACCATTGCAACAAAAAAATAAAATAAAATACCTAGGCATAAACTTAACCAAGTAGGCAAAAGACCTGTTCTCAGAAAATTACAGGACATTGGAAAAAGAAATAGAGAAAGATATAAAAAAAAGTGGAACCATATACCACTGGATTGGAAAAATCAATATCATTATAATGTCTATACTACCTAAAGCAATCTATAGATTCAATGCAATCCCTATTAAAGTACCAACAGCATATTTCACAGATCTAGAACAAATACTCCAAAAGTGTATATGGAACCATAAAAGACCCCAAATAGCCACAGCAATTTTGAAAAAGAAGAACAAAGTGGGATGGACCACAATACCAGATATTAACTATACTACAAAGCCATCATAATCAAAACAGCCTATGCTGGCACAAGAATAGGCCTTTAGATCAATGGAACAGAAGACAGAACCCAGATATTGACTTGAGACAATATTCATAATAAATATTTGACAAAGGTTGCAAGAGCATACAATGGAGTGAAGACAGCCTCTTTAATAAATAGTGTTGAGAAAATTGGACAGCTACATGCAAAAAAAAAAAAAAAAAAAAATGAAACCAGACCACCAACTTATACCATACACAAGAATAAACTCAAAATGAATAAAAGACATAAATGTAACATGTGAAACCATAAAAATCTTTTAAAAAAATGTAGGCAGAAAAATCAGACATCATATGTAGTAGAATTTTCACTGATACATTGCCTAGGGCAAGAGAAACAAAGAAAAAATTAATAAATGGGACTACATCTAACTAAAAAGCTTCTGCATGCAAAAGAAACCAGCATTGAAATGAAAAGGGAACCCACTTTCTGGGAGAACATATTTGCCAATGGTAAATCAGATAAGGGGTTAATATCCAAAATATATAGAGTACTCATACAACTCAACAAAAGGAACACAAAGAATCCCATTAAAAAATGGGCAGAGTACATGAATAGACACTCCTACAGACAGGACATACAAAAGGCCAGGAGACATATGAAAAAATGCTCGACATCTCTAATCATCAGAGAGATGCAAATTAAAATGACTATGAGATATCACCTCACACCTGCCAGAAGGGTGACCATCACTAGGTCCTCAAACAACAAATGCTGGTGAGGTTGTAGACAAACGGGTACTCTAGCACACTGCTGGTGGGAATGCAGACTGGTGCAGTCACTGTGGAAAACAATATGGTATTTCCTCAAAAAATTAAAAGTGGAGCCCTGGCCAGTTTGGCTCAGCGGTTGAGCATTGACCTGTGGACCAGAGAGTCCCGGGTTCGGTTCCCGCTAGGGGCATGTACCACCAAATAAATAAATAAGTAAATAAATAAGTAAATAAATAAATAAATAAATAAATAAATAAATAAAAGTGGAACTGCCATTTGACCCAGTGATTCCACTTCTTGGAATATATCCTAAGAAACCTGAAACACCAATCAGGAAGAATATATGCACCCCTATGTTCAGAGCAGCGCTATTTACAATAGTTAAGATCTGGAAACAGCCGATCAATAGATGAGTGGATAAAAAAAATAAAAAAATTTAAAAAAGTATAGTACCTTTATAAAATGGAATACTATGTAGATGTAAGAAAGAAAGATCTCTTATCCTTTGAGACAACATGGAGGGACCTGGAGGATATTATGCTAAGCAAGATAAGCCAGTCAAAGAAAGATAAGTACCAGATGATCTCACTTACTTGTGGAATATAATTAACAAAATAAGCTGTCTACCAAAAGAGAACCAGAGTCATGGATGTGGGGAACAGACTAACAAACTTCAGAGGGATGGGGGATGGGAGGAGTGGGAAGAGATGTACCAAAAAACTTATATGCATATATGCACAAGCAATGGACATAGACATTAAGCTGGAGAAAGCAGAAGGGGTGTGGGAGCCGGGAGGAGGGGGTCAATGAGGGGAAAGGGGGCAATCTGTAATACTTTTAACAATTAAAAAGAAATCATGTTCTCAACTATGTCACTGATACTCATTGAATGTGGACATTCCTTTCTCCTTAGGAAGAACAAATGCTTCCTGAGGACAGAAGTTCCAATTTATTACCCATTGTTTTATCTTACCTGAGCTATATTTATTGCATTCTGGATCCGCTCATCTTTTTCATGCTCCTTAGTTTTTTGTAATGTTTGCCATATTTGGGTTCTAAGTCCATCTTGTTCTTCATCTCCCCGAAGTTCCCATAACATTTTCACCAGGTTATACACTAGGCCATAGTATCCAGTCCATACCACTTTATCACCTATTTAAAAAGAAATTATCTTTGGGAAAATATCATTTTATTCATCTTACTAATATAGAAAAAGAAGGAATGATTTTAGTAATATTTTAAAGCTTGCAATTCTGAACTTTGTACTCTTCACTGCTTTTACTTCTTTAATTTTAAAAGCTCGCAGATCATTTTAAAATTGCTAACCATATGAAAAGATGGACTGCACTTAAATAATATCATACCTCATAAATTTAAAACTTAAACAGGTACTAAAAACAAATCTTTGGAATACAAGTAAAGAGGAATTTGTTCAAGGCAATATGAATACTTAGACCACCATGGTTGATTTTTACAATAAATCAGAGAAACAGGAGAAAAATCACTGGCTGTTATAATAATGATCGAAATCTATAAAACATGGCATTTGAACCAAGAAGAAAACTTTGAAAACAATGTGAGAAACAAACAAAAATTTCTGATACAATTATAGGCTGTAAGATTTTTTCCTAATAACAGATACATACGTCAATTGAAATAAGGAAAAGAGAGTAATGAATCCAGGGAGAGAAAAAAAATCTAAGACACTTCTAAAACTTATATACCAATTAGCAATTTATATAAATTATCCAGTTCTACTTTTAAAATGTGCATTTCCCTTGCAGAAAAGAGAAAGAAGTTTCTCTTTACTTTTTATCTTAATTATTTCTTACTTAGATGGTATATTGCTATGCAATACTATCCAGGAAGAGAAAATTCTAATTTAGGCAGTGTGGGTATAAATAGACTTGGAAAATGAAATAATACAGTCTTAAAGGGAATATGAACTTAATTAGCCATGATAGTACTGAGTATAAATAAAGCAGGGAAGAGAAGGTTCAGAAAGGGAGATGGAAAAGTTTTAAAGCCCAAAAAATTCTGTATTGTATTTCATCCTAGATCCTGGTGATAACTTGTATGATATTGGAACTCATCAATGCCCTTCTTGAAAAGTCACAATATAAAAAGTTATAATCCTCAACTTTTCGTAATTCAAACTGGAATTTTATAATCCAGTTTAATAATAATAGTCACTATTATTATAACTAGAATAGTTGGGAGTACCTACTATGTGCCCTTATTTTAGTCCTCATTACAACCCTGTTATGTAGACCCTATTATTCTTAGACTAATAGAAGAGAACATGTGAGCTTCAAGTTGGTTTGAAAGTTCCTAGCATCATGCAGCTGATGAGTGATGGAGCCAGGTTAAGGTCTGATCATATTCCATGCAGCACAGCCTCTCCAATTCAGACAAGTACTTTTCTTTTCAATCCCCACTTCTATTTCATTCATAGGAGAGGAAGAGACTAGAAGGTAGAAGGAGAAGGCAGAAGAGAAAATATGTACACATTTTGGAAATGGGAGTAGATGTCAGCTTCAGAACTTAAGACACCTTCCACCCTTTCTGTTGTTGATACTTTAGAAGAGAAAGTATAAGCCACAAATACAAAGCTATAATTACACAGCCAAATCTTTTTTTATTTTTTATTTGAATTTATTGAGATCACATTAGTTAATAAAATTATATAGGTTTCAAGTATACAATTCTATAGTAAATCACTTGTATATTGTATATATGTGGAATTGAATGGACAAATTAAATGAACAAACAAAATTAAAACAAATTAAAAAATACAAAGAACAGATTGACAGCTGTTGGGGGAGGGGAGTTGAGTGGCTAGGTAGAAAGGTGAAGGGATTAAGCAAAACAACAAACTCATAGACACATTTTCCTGAGAGAAGGGGGGTAAAGGAGGAATAAATGGTGATGGAAGGGTGACTTTGGTGATAAATGGTGACTTTGGATGGTGGTCAAGTCTTTTAAAAACATAATTTTTCCTCATAAAATCTTTATTAGTGAAAATTAGTATACTGCTATATTTGAAGTTATGTACAGGGAGTGATATCAACAAGAAGGTGAAAGAGTAAGTCCCCTGTCTTCATCCCCCTACAGAAACACAATTTGACAGGCGCCCAAGAACAAAAGTGCCTTTTGGATAACCTTGGTATTCAGATAGAAGGTTGGGAAACCCCAGTAAAGCCCAAGATTGAGGAGGGCCATTTTGATAAGGCAGGTCTGGACCCAGGTATCAGGCCTGATGCCAGTGATGTAGTCCCAGCTGTGGACCTGGAAGCACCCTTGTCCACCTGTGAACTCAGCTCTAGTCCTGCTTGTCCACAGTCCTGCTACCAGCCTCATCCACTGAAGGACCAGAAGGACCCATGCCTATTGGTACCCTTAGTAAGAGGCCCACTGAGTATGAACCTGAAGCGTGGACACTGAGAGCAGCTCCGTAACCTGAATCCTGCCTCACTCTACCATAGTCTAGAGGAAGTTCTGTCCACCCAGGAACCCACCCAGGAACCCACCCATGGAGCACCACTCCCCTCTCCCCCCCGCCAATGGACCTGACAGGAGCATGCTCAGGAACCTAGTGACAGGCCCAAGGTCTGCAGACCCAGAAGTGGTCCCATAACCAGGATCCCGCCCTGCTCAACCACAGTTCTGGAGGTGGTCCATCTGCTCAGGGACTCAGCAGGAAACATGCTCACTCATGCCCACTGACTCCCAGCAGAGAGGGTGCTCAAAGAGGAAGATAATGAGGATCTCAAAACTGAGCTGAGATAGAGAGTTCATATTAGAAACAGATAAAGTAAAGCAAATAAGAATAAATGGGGTCAGTTAAATGGTAGACATTTGAACAAAACAGGAATGTTGTATTTGTTCAATGAAATGTTATGTCTATTCAAGCAATAAACTGGGAAACCAATATGGGAGTTTTATGAGGTAATCTGGCTCTTTACTGTGATGAGCAGCAGGAGACTGGACAGTAAAGGAGAAACCTAAGACACGTGGAGAAGCTCTGAGAAGACTCCCTCGCCGTGGAGGAAAAGGAAGGAATGCAAGTGAAAAGGAAACATACGGGTTTAAGCTCAGGAAACTGAAACAATAATAAAATCATTTGGAGAAATGCAATTATATAGAAGAGCCTATTTGGAAAGAAAGAAAACAAATATTATTTGGAAACTCTGACATGGTCGGATGTGAGGGAAATCTCTTTTTAGTTTCCTGTAGCTTGTTGTAAAAAATGTAGCTAACATTCAAGTAAAATAGCAGAAATTAAACTACGTATTTGGGAGTAATTAGCAAAAAAATAAGGCTTGAGCTCAATATAAATAAATAAATGATTATGTCTTTAATAACCGAGGAATTGTGAAACTCTTAAATAAAAACACAGTTTTTGAACAATATGGTAAGTAAAACATACTGTGAATTTTAATCAATGTATACACTTATTTATATACTCCCAAATTCTTTACATTAAAAAGAACGATTGATAAAAATATATCCAAACCCCTTTCCTCCATATAATTTAAATTTTTGTTTATGGAAGAACAATATTTTATAAGCCTACAATATTTGAATCCTTGAACTGAATATAATGTGCTTTTCGACTCTACAAGGCCAATGATGAATCCATAAAATATATTCTGAGAACTGTTGTCAAACCTCAAAAAACTTTTAAATGCCATTGATTTTCAAAGTGAGCTGTTCACCTGTTGATTTAAACTACAGTGAAGTATTGCTTATGAATATTTGTAGGAAAAAATTTATTACATCCAATTGACTGACAGTTAATGAAGAAAGAACTTTCTAAAAACAGATGGGACGTGTTACAGCTGTCATAAAAGGTACAATGCATTCTAATATGCACATCTCGACATTTGCCAAGAAGCATGCCTGCTATGAAACTCCTCATCCAGGGACCAAACTGTAGCATAAGGCACTCTTCTGTTCTGCTTTGAGTGACCCTGTGGCAGCTATCAAAGATGTCAAAGATGTCACTTCAAATATACTGAGAGAAAATGTGTCTCTTTGCAACTAACCAGGCAGTATCCTAGGACATTAGAAAACTGAACCAAAATAAAATTCTAAATAAATCTTGAAAATTAATTAAGAAAATGTGACATTTAAAAACCAATATTATGATCCTTTTGTTGTAGCTTTATTTTTTGAACTCCTTGGAAGCCTTTAACTTCCAGTCTAGATATTTATATTTTACCTATTCAGTGATTATAAAATACGAATATTTCTATTTATATGAATGAGTATAAACAAGTACAGCCTTTACTATTTTGACAAATCGAACTTGACACAGAATTAGATTTGTCAAATTAGATACAGAATCAACTGTATCTAATTTGACACCACAGAATCAAAGGTAACTTGTATGTAAGGTGTTGTTTAAATGCCATGTAGAGTGACAACAACTAGATCAATGCCAAGAAACCAATGCACAAGAACAAGTCAGCAAGCCAGGCATTTAACAAGTATGTACTGAGTCAATGCTATGTGTCAACCAGTGTTCTATGTACCTAAGAAGAAGACAGTGTCCCTGCTCTCAGGTCACAATTCTAGTGGAGAAAGATAGATAGCTAAGAAAAATACCAGTTCATAATGAGTGTCACAAAAATAGTAGAAGATGGCAATGTGATCAACAATGACTGGGAGAGAGAAAGCCCTCCACAAGGACATGGTTTTCAAGCTAAGATCTGATGAAAAAACGTTAACCATCCAAGGAACTGGGGAAAACTGTTCCCCACATAGGTGATAGAACGTGCAGTCTTTGGACCTACCATACTGTGATAGTTTAGGGAAGGAGAAGAAAGAACAGAACGGATGGAGTACAAGATACCTGGTGGGGAGGGAGTCATGGAACAAGATGGTGTTGGGTAGGCATGCCCTTTGCACACTAAATTATCATGGCCTAGGCTACAGACAGGAGTTTGGATTTTATTTTTGGTGTAATGTAAAGCCAACAAAGCATTTTAAATAAGGAAGGGAACTGATCCACTGGCTTCGTGGTGTAAAATGGATTCTAGAGAGTATAAGGGCAACTTTTAGCCTTTTGCAGTAATCTAGAAGTGATGTGATGATTGCTTGAGCTTGGAAGACTTGCAGTAAAGGAGTGACCATGCCCAAAGAGAGGG